TTTCATGCTTTATCCGTGACTAATTATTCTTATCTCCTAAAATATATAGTGCTTAACACAAGGGACTATATAAGAAGATGCAGAGAATTTTGAATATGAGAATTCCCTTTGGAAAGATCACTTGCTAAATTAGTAAAACTTGAAATCAGGCTAGGGGTAAACATCTGCCTCCTGAAGTCCTACTTGGCTTCTCAGGGCATTTTCACAAGATACGGTGAAGCAAAAGCTATGCCCCCAACACTGACATCTCCAGTGCCTTCTGGTCTCTAAGAATGACTGGCCAAAGCATTTAGCAGCTGCTTAGCCATGTGAGACACTCAGGGCAGGGCTACTTCAGCTTAATCCTATTTTTAGGATCTCACCTTCTTAATCATAATCATAATCATTATAATAATATTCATAACTATGGCTAATATTTATTCAATATTTACTGCACACCAGACCCTCTTGAAGTACTTTACATGTGTTCGTTTATCTCATTTCCCTAGCTAATCTATGACAAGGTGTTTTATTTTTTAAAATTATTTATTTTTATTTAAGCTCTTTATTATTATTATTATTATTAATTTGCTATAGGGCATGTGCACTCTTCACAGGGAGACAGAGAGAGAGAGAGAGAGAGAGAAAGTTAAGAAAGCAAGCTACTAGGTCCAGGACATGAACCATCTGAGAGTCCAGTATATTTTTTTTTATATTTTTTTTTATTCAATTACATTTATTATTATTATTATTTTATTTGACCAGAAAGAGACAGAGAGAGAAAGGGAAGGTGAGAAAGCAAGCCACCAGGTCCAGGACTCAAACCACAGTCGGCCATGTGGGAATCCAGCGTCTTTAACCATCATGCCACCTGCTGAGTCCAGTGCTTTAAGTACACCATCTGCTGGCCCCAAGGTGATTTTTCTTTTTTAAGATATGATTTTTGGCTTTGGGGGTTGTTTTTTGAGTTATTAGCTGGATTTCTGAAGGTATTTCTTTTTTATTTATTTATTTTTTTTTTTTTGGAGAGGTTTTTGCTATAGGGCGTGAGCACTCACCAGACAGACAGAGAGAGACAGAGAGACAGAAAGCGAGAAATCACCCCTGGGATGGTCACGCCGCAATCCCTTCTCCTCCATTCTCCTCTCAGGATCTTGGGCACGCACGCACACGCGCCCGGCGTGAGTTCTAAGCCACTGGGTCCAGGACGCGAACCACGGTCGACTACATGAGAATCCAGCAACATAGCCATTACGCTAACTGCTGGTTCCTCTGAAGGTATTTCTTTGCAACTTAGTGCGTGGCTCAGGAGTTGGCAGGGGTCAACCAAACCCACCCCATGCTGCCTAGGTCTACGAGGGTAGGAGGAGAAACAAAAGTTTAAGGCAAGGCCACAGCTATGGCTGCTGCAGTCAGAGTTCCTGGTCCAGCTAGACTCAGTCATCATGTGGGGTCACCAGGCAAGATGGCCACTCATCTGGTCCCATGATCCTTGTTTGATGCAGGTTATAGTGGTGTCCCTAGCAAGGTGATGAAGGGACACCTGGTAGGATAAAGCACAGTGAGGAGGTGTTTTGACTGGAGCACAATAGACTGACATTCACCTTCCTGGGGGAAAGGGAGAAACATAGTTCTCTAGGAAAATCAGATTCATCAAGAAGGGAGATGGTGATGATTGATGCATCGATTAAGAGGTAATGGGAGGAAGCCAAGGGGATTTCAAAAAGTTAGTGAAAAAATGGAATTAAAGTACACATTTGAAATCTGCATAGTTTTTGACAAAATGCATTTACATGAACTTTTTAAGATCCCCTTTGTATATATGGCCCTCTACCTCCTCACATGTAATAAAGAAAACTAAAGCAGGTTGGTTAACTTGCCTAAAGAGACAGAGTTGAAAAGAAGATAGGAAGCCAGGATGAGCCCTAGCAGCACATACCACTATTAAACTTTTCTTAGAATATTATAAACTTAGGCCAGCAGATGGCATGACGGTTACGTTGCTGAACTCCCACATGGCTAACTGAAGTTCGAGTCCCAGACCCAGTGGCTTGAAACTGACAGTGGGCCCTTACGCATGCATGCCCAAGATCCCAGGAGGAGAATGGAGAAGGGATTGAAATCACCCTGGGGGGCTGATTTCTCACCTTCCCTCTCACTGTGTCTATTTCTCTCTCCAGCAAGAGCACATGCCCTAAGGCAAAACAACATCCTATTTTTTTAAAAAAAAAAAAAAAGAATTTTTTAAAAATGAGTATTATAAGCCTAAATATTTACTTTTACTTTCCCTTGCGTTTATTCATAACAGCTGCAGGTGAAAATCGCATATTGGGACCCTGAATTTTTTTTTTTTTTGAGAGGTTTTTGCTATAGGGCGCGTGCGCTCGCCAGACAGACAGAGACATAGAGACAGAAAGCGAGAAATCACCCCCCCCCCGCAGGGGCAATCCTTTCTCCTCCATTCTCCTCTCGGGATCTTGGGCATGCACGCACACGCGCCCAGCGTGAGTTCTAAGCCACCGGGTCCAGGACGCGAACCGTGGTCAACTGCATGGGAGTCCAGCAACATAGCCATTATGCTAACTGCTGGTTCACAGGACCCTGAAATTTTTTTTGATACAAATAGGATGTGTGTGTATGAGTTTAGCTATAGATCGTTAATCACATTTTAAATCAATTTATCCTTTTATTCCTGATGAAATTAACAGGGTCAAAAATTTTAGAAGTTAGGCTTTTCCTCTCCTCTACTTTTTTCAAAGTTTATTCATCTGTTTTTCCCATGGGAGAGAAAGACAGGAGAGGGGGAACGTCCAAGGGATTTTGCACTGAGATCCAATCCCAGTCCCAGCCAGTCCAGATCATGGGCACACACATACCCAGCATGCTCAGGGCAGAGCTAGGATGCAGACTCGGTACCTTTCCGTGCAGGTTCAGTAGTGTCACTTCTATGCCACCCGCTGCCCCTCCATAGCATTTTTCTTATCCTCAGTTGACCATTCAACACAATGTTTTTAAAAAGAAAAAAGCCAGTCCCTGGCACTAATGTAACCTAACAAAAACAAAATATCATTTCGACTTCACTGAAGATGATGGCACCTCATCAAATGAATCACAATGAAACCCTTCATGACTCCTGTTAGAAACTAAGAGATTGTGTGTCCTTCTTCCCAAGTTCTTATCCTCAGAATTTAAATTTAACAGGTAGAAAATTGTAAACTGACTCAGGGAGATTGTAGAAAAGATTAGAGGAGCAAGCTGACATAAACCAACTGAAAAACACCATGGGAAAAATATTCAAATAAATAAGTGCTCAACTAGAATTTCTAGGTCACAAATCTGTGACC